GCCAAGTTAAATTCTACTACAAAATAAAAAGTAAAACCTAAGTGATACTATCTTTATTATTTACTTAATTCAAATGGTACTGTCTTTAATTTTTATACAATGAAAAAATTTAATTTAAATAGAAAAATTTTTCATGTAAAAACACTTGGCGCTGCTAGATCTCAATATAATAACATGATAGTATAGTAGTAAAACATGAATGTAAATAAAACCCTACCGTGTCTCCAGATGTACACTGATCCAATAAGTTCAAAACCTTCGAAAAATAACAGACCTACACAATATACATTATATTTAAAACAGAAAATAAAATAGAAATGAAACATGATAGATATACATTTATTTCTCAGGAAATATAAGGAGATTCGTACTTATACTTAATCTTTTTTTATTTGCAATGATAGTCAGAGTTATAAAATATAAACGCAATAAGAGAACTAATAATATCAGTTTTATTTTAACTGATCGATATTACTTAATTTTCAATTTGAAATATTCTTCCTTTACTGTTAAAAAAACGGTGTTAAATTTATTTTTTAAATTTCTTCTTATATTTGTCAGATAAAATCCAGTTATTCGACTAATTCAATTTACTATATCTCAAATCACAACAATATTAAACCTGTTACATGTTATTTTAAAAAACGAATAAAAAATGACTGCGTTCAGCGTTTATTTCGCAAATGTTGGAAGTTTTCTTTGCGCTGATTGTATTATACTTTTAGATCTAGAGGATTGGTGGATTCTATCTTAGCACACAATCATAAAAATGGTTTCAAAACTGTTGTGTTCCGCTGAAACGTACCTATTACGTTAACTAATTGATAATGGCTGTATTCAACAGAGAAAACTAATCAGTTATAATTAATCAAAACTGTCACTTTCCGTTAAATGGCTATTTAAATCCCTTATATGGACATTTCAACGGTGCAGACAAACAGCGATAATAAAGAGAAGAAGCGAGATGGAATATAAGTGCCCTGATTGGTTACATACTTCGCTTGCGCATGTGCAGTTCATTTTTATTCACGGTGAAATCGTGAGAGTTGCGCTACTGTATATACTCTGGTTTTAGGCCGTAACAGTAGTCGTAAGAGACATATTTCTTAAGCCCATTCTACAATTGCATAAGCGTAGTTGTAAGTGGTTGTAGTTGTAAGAATTAACCTATCACAGTCAAATATGAGGAGAATATTCGATTGTGATTAGTCAATTCTTACAACTACGCTTACGCAATTGTAGAATGGGCTTTAGTTTAGTAGATCGCAACTCGTGGTAGTCGTAAGCGAATAAACCATTTCCATTTCGGTACTGCCTACGGCTTACGGCAAGCGTCTTGCGTCACTTTGAGGCTATGTTTGACGACAATTTTCAGTATTATCAGTGAATTCATAACTGTTGCAACTGCTGAGAAAACTCGATCACAATTTTGTATGTAACCTCAAACAATGTATTTTCTAATTGGCTTTATGTCGTAGCTGCCGCTACGTCGTCTTCATTGTAGACAGACATGATTGTAGAAGTGCTACCGCTTGCGTCTTACTACATTACTGCCTACTGCTAATTGTATTGTAGCTGAACCTTTTTGGCCAATTTCTTATGGCTTACGACTTGCGACCTTATTGTAAAACAGGCTTAAAGCCCAATTTCTGATTACCAACTTTATTGTAGAATTCCCATAAAGTACATAATCTAAAGTTAATACAAGATTTCTAACCTCTCGCTAGCTTGTTGACAGTATCGTGCGAACGGTGATCATTTATAAATTAAGATTTTCTTATTAGAAGATAAGTATATACTATATACTCACGGTATTCACAATATATACGACCAATAGAACGTCGGAGCGGTATCTCGTTATGAATAACGTATGCGTATATAGCGTTCGTTAATAGAATTTTTATTGACATTGCAAAATCTGTTAAATTTTTATAACAAACGGTAAAGAGTGCCAACTTTTTTCTAGGTACTTATCGCTTGAAACTTATAATAGCTAGCTCTGAGCATCTATTATGGATCCATAATTTCGAAATGAATTTCGATCGAAATTATTCAATTATTCCCTAGACTTCTATTGTGTTTTCTGGGGAAAACGGAATAATTCCGATCGGAATTCATTTCGATGTGTTCCTTAATAGATACCCTGGTAATTCTGATGTTGATAGCGATGAGAATTCATCATATAGAATAAAATAGATTTATCGACAATTCGTCTCACTGCTCTTAGTTTTTATTATGACAGATAAGATTTCTTTTTCCAGTGATAGACTTCTATTCCTTCTTGATCTATTCCTTTTAAAATTCGAGAGAAATTATACTCGTTTATTATTTATAACCCTTTTAGAAGGTATCAAGCGATCAAGATGGCGAGCGAGGAAATATATAATCGAGAGGCCAATAAGAAACTGCAGCCCATATTTAAAAATCGTTCATTTCAACAAAAATTTCGACAGACTAGCACCACTGGAAAGAAACGCACTTGGCGATCGTTGAAACAAGTCTTGGCTCAAGAACGTTCGTTGCCATGGCCAACAGCAATAAAACATTGTATGCATCAAGTGTGACAAAATTTTTATTTCCTCTCATCATTGCATTTATACATATTAGACGGAAAATATTTAAACCGTAACGAGACATTTTCATATAATCTGCACGTGACTAAGACCAAAATAGTTTCGCGACGTGTATTCAATACAGAGAGAGTGAGAGAAAGGGAAAGGGGAGCGTATCGTTTTTATCATAAATTTGTTTAAATTTCAGATAGTTCCATCAATGCACCACCTAGCTTCAAACCTGCAAAAAAATACTCGGATATTTCTGGATTGCCGGTGAGTAATCCAGAGAAATGGCTGCTGTGATATTTATCAACTAGTCAACGTTTAAGTCCAGATCTACAATAGGTGTTTTAAGACTTAAGTCGTAAGAAATTGATCAATTACAGTCGAATCCGAGGGGAATAATCGACTGTGATTCGCTCATTTTTTATGACTTAAGGCTTAAAACCTTATTGTAGATCCGGGGTAATCAAACTTTTCCCCGATACTGTAAGTTCGTAAGCGCGGTAAACTAATTTAAATAAACAAATTGCATTTAATTTATAGGCACGATACACGGATCCACAAACTAAATTGTATTATGCCACCGCCGAAGAATTTGCAACGGTTCGCAGTTTACCGATGGATATAACGGCCGGATATTTGGCTTTACGTGGAGCGTCTAGTATCGTTGGTTAAATGATCCGATACTCGACATAGCCTAGCAGTTGTGACTACATCTTGACCTATATATTGGCAATCCAATTCAATCATCCAGTGATCGTTACAAGAGTTTACAATTTATATTTTAAATATATAAACATCTATACATTTTGCAATATGTTGCTTTTAACACCCTCGAGTTTCTTTCTCGTTCACATTCACGAAGAACAGGGATACATCGATAGGGATGGAGAGTATAATAGCGTTTTTCACTGGCAAAACTGATGCACACTCGGTGCACATTAATCTAATCTGAATGTAAAAGTGAGATATCTCAATTAATAAAATACCTAATGTATATTTTATCAAATACTACAATAAAATGTATTGAGGATTTCGCGGTTTAATTCGTTTCTATATTTTTATTAAATGTATATCTTTACGTCGATTTGTGTTACAACGGCTTTAAAGTACACTGAGTGCGCACCAACTTTGCCAGTGAAAAACGGTATTAAACGAAACGATTCAATCGACAAAGAGACAGAGTAAATAAAGTATCGATATTTTTCTCAGACAACATATTTATAACATTTTCATGTGATGCCAATTTACTTTGCAGGATTTTCCAAAATGAATAATTCCATAGATAATTTTGGTTATTTTCATTTCTTTTTTGTTCTTATCTTCTTGTGTTACTTTACACAGTACATTATTAAAAAAGCTTGTCCATTATTAACTTAGTATATGAACTAGAGGCTAATAGAGGGGAGAGACCTGCGGACCTTCGAGAGCTGTATTACTGTTCATCGACTGTTGCCGCACTGAATCTTTAGTTTTCTTTTTTTTTTTCAGTCCAGTTTACGCGCCCCGTTTGCTACTAGCAACACGGCAATTTTAACAAATTTGCAATTGAAGATACAAACAGCAAGGCCTACTGAAATATTGCCCGTTCGTGCACTATCCTTAGGTTGCCATTTGTCTTTAATGTAATTAATTACTTGATCGATGTGTGATTATTTTTATCGCTTTAGTCATATAAATCGGGAAGATCTTCATCATCGCTATCAGCATCGTTGTCCCCTAATTCATCCAACTCGTCAAAATTTGGCTTACTATCGCCCGAACCACTTAGACCACCCATCTGTCGCATCATCTATGAGATCGAGGAAGAAGTATATATCAATTATCGACAATACCTTGATATCTTTTGGCTACAAATACATGTAACATTCGTTCTTACCTCTTCTAAATCTGGTGGATTACCTTCTTCGTCAGTATCGTCCTCGTCCTTCCATTTGTTAAAATCGCTCTTTAACCAATGAGCCTTTGTTTTGTCTTTAATTAATCGTGGCCAATATGGTCCCTCTTCTTTCTTAGCAAGAACCAACTCAAAAGTCCTACCCTTCATATTTTTTATGGTTTTGCTGGGCTCAATTTCTTTGTACAGATTAATTGTAACTTCATGCATTTTTTTATCTGTACCTCCCTCTCCTTTGAAGTATATCTTTTCTGGTTCAATTTCAATAACAGGATCTTTACAATCTTCTAAGCAGATAGTAACATATAAGATATCTTTCCTTTGAGCCCACATAACCGGGGGAGGAGGTATCCTAAAAGTTGAAAAAAGAATGAAAAACATTATGTATGTATATAATGAATAGCTGCATTTAGCAGAAGTAGCTTTACAATTGTTGTAAAATTCTTCGATATTGGTCTTGCCTTTAAGTACTTCTTCACTGGATCTAAACTAATCATATTAAACAATCTTTCAACACAGTTGCAAAATTGCTTTTTCTGCTGAATCAATCAGGGTAAAACTTGAAAAATTTTTAATATTCAACTATTTTAACTAAATACAAAATTAAATTTTTAAACGTACTAACAAAAACCAACAAAAACTAGATTTAAAGATATATATATATATATATAATAGATATATATAATTTGAAAAAGAAAGGTAAAGTCTATATGAATCCATAATTAATTTAAATAATTGAAATTTGAGTCGAGATATTTTCCGACTTGATCGCGAAAAAGATTCGTCTTTTTTCTTTTGATATTCCTTTCGTCAATTCTAACCGGAGTTCTACAATGAGTAGGTAGTATTATACTAGTGTGAATAAAACGAATCTCGTAATTTTTACGATACATCTAACACTATTCGAAATACTCTCGTATTCATCATTTCGAGTATTACGTATCCTGGAAAATCCGCACAAGCGAATTCCCACGTGTACAGCGCGTATTCTATGTACATAAAGGACCTGTTGTACCTTTATAGGTTAGGGATAAAAGCTCGATGCTAGTTCGCGACGCATCGTGATTACTCGAATCGTTGCAGTGCGCTGATATGCGCGACAAACGATATCATGCGGCGCAGCGACGCGAAGAGATTCGCTTATCGCGCTAATCGTTACAAAACGAAAATACAACGGGCATTTCGAAGAAACGAGTCATCTCGTCCCCACCGTCGCGGTCGTCCGGCGCGACATCGTTCGATTCGTACAAAAAAGGCGGAGGAGAGAAAAGCGAAAAGGACACGACGACGCGAGACGGAGATTAACGCGAGCGAATAATCGCGTCACGCATTTTCGTTCGAAAGAAAGATTGCCGCCATGCGGTTAGGTCGTATCTCGTCGAGAAACTTGGAGAATCAATAAAACCGTCTGACCAACATGGCGATGCTCCGGAAAGCACGGAGCGGCATTTATACAACCGCGACAGTTATTCGTGGCTATATGCGGACACGCGACCACGGATCTCGTCATCGGGCCTGACGGTGCGAACCGCCATCCCAATTTATGTCAATCCTAGGATACTTACTGGCTTTCTTGCGTCATGCTTCCGACAGCTTCTCTTGCGACGAGAATGAAACAAATACACAGCGCACGTAGCGCACTCACGCACCGCGCCGCGCGCCGCGCGCCGCTCGGCGGACCCGATTCGAGATTCTAGATTGTTCGCGCCACTTCGATATCTCGTATCGTTTTTCATGAAACTCTCTATCGATGTGACTCGATTGGCAGCTTGCCAATCTGCGCTTTGCTCTCCGCGATTTATCCATCTAAACTTACAGGGTAAATATTTTAAAAGCACGTTGCTGTTTTTTTTTCACGATGTAATTTAATAAATTTATTATTTTACAAATTTATTTGTTACAGTAACGCAATACGTTTCGTGTATTTATTTCATCTTTCTCGCCGCGGAAGAACGCGTAACGAATTAATTGTGTTATAAATAGGCCTATTCTTTTTAGCTGAACTTTTGCACCAGTTCATCTTTCTTTCTCTTGGAGAGAAAAGGAAGAAAGATGAACCGATGCAAATGTTCAGCTAAAACGAACATGCCTAATGTGAACTAGTTGCTTGGAGAAGGCTGCTTGAGAAGATCCATATTAGCGATAAGAAAAGAAGACGCCGATTTCGCGATAAATCAACACACATCAAAAACACGTTTATGTATACAGGGTGTATCTTAAAAAGCGCCCACTAATCATACAGCGCTATTCCAGATCGAAACTGATCGAGTCGAAAAGTTATATATATATATATATGACTATATTGCAATTTTTGCAATAGTTATATACGAGATATTAATTTCTAAAGATTGCCAAATATGTGGGTAAAATTGACATAAGGCCAGAATCAGACTATGTATATTAAAGATTGAAATTGAAGATTAAAGTTTGACCAATGAGGACAAAGGAATTTTAGCTCCTATTGTTTTAAACAAGTCAAATTTCAATCTTCAATCTTTGATCTCAATCTTCAGTGCGTAGTCTGATTCTGGCCTAAGACAACTTTTAAAATACCTTTCAGTGTTTTTATGAAATATATTTTAAAGATGTTTCTTAAAAAGCTTTTAAAGATATCTTGAAATTATCTTATGTGCCGATTTTATATATTTCTGCTCATTGGATAATTAAAAGAAGAATTGCGAAAATTGGAAATTAGTAGAGAAATTTTCGATTCAATTTTTTATCAGAAATAACGTTATATAATTAGTGAGCGCTTTTTAAAATACACCTTGAAAACATGTAAATAAATGTTGTTGCGACGTCTTATCCGTGAATGGTATATTAATTTTAAGATAGGAAATTTTAATTATACTCAAGAGGATCGAAACGTATATAATTTTGTCTATTTTAACAAAGAATATTTATATAAGCTTGTGTTAACTTTGAAAGACTTTTATTTTATTATTTGTTTTATTCGTCAGAGCTTAATTCGAAAATTATATGCTGTATTTATAAATAAATAAATGCGCGCGCGCACATTGCAGCACACATCACACACATATCGGCAGGGATAGAAACAAAGCGGTTTAAGCCAGAGTTTACAGATTGTAGGTCATACGTTGAGGAGGGGGCACGGGGAGACGAGATCCGGTGGGGAGTCATTCTTCTACCGCGAACTAACTGGACACGCGGACGCGAGTACAACAGTTTCTTTCTCCTGCAGGCTCGATTCAGGTGCGCGATTTGCCATCCGCCGCGCGCGTCCGCTCTTTTCGTTATCGTGCATGCGTACATGCGTGCGTCCGTCCGTGCGTGCGTGCGTGCGTGCGTGCGTGCGTATATGCATGCGTGGGCGCGCGCGAGTGACACGTAACTTAAGAGAACGTAAAAAGGCGCGCCCTGATCCCTGTATCGTGATCGATCGATCGATCGTGCGACGCGACGCGGCGCGGCGCGACGCGACACGGTGCAGTCGCGCGGCTTCTCGATATAAGTACGACGTATGCACGCACATTTTTTCGCGTAATACGGACGAAATATTCTCACGAAGGTAGAAATATGATAAGAGAGCAAATGTAAGTTACACAATAACGCAAGATAGCGTGAATTAAAAGCGATATTAGAGAGAAATTATTTTAAAGGAATTATAAGAAGGGAATACAGAACGGATTTATCGCGCGCTTTGAAAGAAGAGATACTCTCAAAGAAATGTCTGTTTTCATAAGGTGCATATTTGCACGGATTTCAAATTATAAAATAAAGATGAAAATGGAATAAATAGTATTTATGGATTGAAAAAATGTGATACGACGTGCTCCTTTTATTATTATTATTATATACATTAAACCGTTATTCATTACTATATGCATATATATATATTTTTTAAATTAAACTTTCGTAATTGATAATGAAGGTAACAATTATTGTAACGCAGAGAATATATTTTTGAATTTTAACGTTTTTTCTCTCCGAGATACACCATATCAAAAAATACGAAGAAGAGACAGTTAAAG